GTACACCTCTGCCTATCCATAGAAACCCCTGGTGTGTGTGTATACCATGGGTAGGCAAACTAGGGGCTGGATCCGGCCCAATTGCCTTCTAAATCCGGCCCATGGACGGTCCGGGAATCAGCGTGTTTTTACATGAGTAGAATGTGTGCTTTTATTTAAAATGCATCTCTGGGTTATCAAAATATAGTCTGGGCCCCAACAAGGTCTGAGGGACAGTGAACTGGCCCCCTGCTGAAAAAGCTTGCTGACCCCTGTCCTAGAACCATGGAGTCCATACGGGAATTGAACCTGCAAGCTTGGAGCTAAACCAACTGAGCTCTCCAGGCATACTTCTGCCAAATCAGTCCATTGATTGGTATCGTCTAAATTGATTGACAGGTTCTGTCCAGGATCTCAGGCAGGACTTGCCTTTTCCCACTTTTGCCTGGCAATTGTAGGAACTGAACCTGGGACCTGACTCAGACCAAGGTGGCTTCTTGTGTTCCTTCTTCAACCCTTTATTCGGAACCATGAGGACTAGGATCTTACTTTGCTTTTATGGTGTATCTCTATATCCATTTATTGAAACGTGTGTACATATATCTGTCTACATACATGGGTGTATATATATCACCTTGCTGATTTTCTGGGCCATCCCATGATGCCTTTCTCCCCCCCCCCCCCCCGGTTTTGCAGAAAAAGGCCGAAGAAGCCCACAAGATCTTTGAAGGCCTCGGCCCCAAAGTCGAACTGGTGAGGAACCCTGTAATTTTTGTGGCCTTTCCATGTGTGTCTCTTTCTCAAACTTGCTTTTAGCTCTTCCAGCACAGGGGTGGGGTGGGGATTCTCCTCACAGGTTCTTGGGCCCCACTTCCCAGTAATAATAATAATAATAATAATAATAATAATAATAATAATTTATTATTTATACCCCGCCCATCTGGCTGGGTTTCCCCAGCCACTCTGGGTGGCTTCCAACAAAACACTAAAATACAATAATCAATTAGACATTAGAAGCTTCCCTAGACAGGGCTGCCTTTAGATGTCTTCTAAAAGTTTGGTAGTTATTTTTCTCTTTGACATCTGGTGGGAGGGCGTTCCACAGGGCAGGTGCCACTACCAAGAAGGCCCTCTGCCTGGTTCCCTGTAACTTGGCTTCTCGCAGCGAGGGAACCGCCAGAAGGCCCTCAGCACTGGACCTCAGTGTCCGGGCAGAACGATGGAGGTGGAGACGCTCCTTCAGGTATACTGGACCGAGGCCGTTTAGGGCTTTAAAGGTCAGCACCAACACTTTGAATTGTGCTCGGAAACGTACTGGGAGCCAATGTAGGTCTTTCAATACCAGTGTTATGTGGTCTCGGTGGCCACTCCCAGTCACCAATCTAGCTGCCACATTTTGGATTAGTTGTAGTTTCCGGGTCACCTTCAAAGGTAGCCCCACATAGAGCGCATTGCAGTAGTCCAAGCGAGAGATAACCAGAGCATGCACCACTCTGGCGAGACAGTCCGCAGGCAGGTAGGGTCTCAGCCTACGTACCAGATGGAGCTGATAAACAGCTGTCCTGGACACAGAATTGACCTGTGCCTCCATGGACAGCTGTGAGTCCAGAATGACTCCCAGGTGAGTTGGGAGCTCTCCAGATCTGGGAGGGCACTAAGTGTCTTGGTGGGTCGTGAACTTCCTTTGAACTGGAACGCCCTGGCCCAGCTTTCTAGGGCGGGTGTTCCTGGCTGTGCCGGCTTTGTGCCTGCCGCACGTGCGTGGCGGTGCTTAAAGTGCCCTCTTAGTGAGGTTTGCTATTAAGCCAAAAAGAGCTTGCCCTGATGTGTTCTGTGCTGTGGCTCTGGCTTTGCAGGGGTTGGGCCAAACAACCCTTTGGACCCCTCCCGACGCTACAGTTCCATGATTCCTTGTGCTTCTTACCTTGTGTCAGATGGCAAAGGTTGTTGCTCACGAGTAACCAGGCAGAACTCCGACTTGTCTTTTACAGGTTTCATTTAGGTGCAAAACCATTGAAACCTCTCTCTGGGTGTGCAGAACCCCAAAGTTCATGTCTGCCTCAATGGCTAGCAGAATCCGGGAGTGCTTGTTTCCTAGACCTCCCCCAGCATAAAAGTCTTGTTATGCCCAGCTGTTTCCTTCCCTCTTTGCGCTTTAGACTTCTGCGCAAGGTGGGTGACGGGAGGGGCGTGCTTCCCTCCTGGCCGGCTTTGCCAGGAGCGGTGTTGAGGCTCCTACCAGCATCCTCTGGTCCTTTCACCTCTCCCCCCCCCCCCGGAGGTGGGGCTTTCCTCATCACCGGAAGAAGAACTGCTTTGCAAGATTTTCGGAGGCTCCCTGTAGCACAACTTCCCCTCTGTTTCCCACCCCTGATCTGATGGCACTTCCCTGACACCTTGTTTTCTTTCCACCCCCTGCTCCACAGCCGCTCTACAACCAGCCGTCGGACACAAAGGTGTACCATGAAAACATCAAAACGTAAGTGCCTTGCATCACCACCAACATGATGATTCCCCAGCCTGGGGGGCTTTGAAAGAGTGTTGGACTCTTGTATATGCAACTGAGAGATGGATAGTGAGAAGTCCTTTTTACTCACTTCTCTCTCTTTTTAAGAAATCTTTCTTTTCCTTTTCATTCCTTTCTTGTTTCCTTTAATACAGTGGCACCTTGGTTCTCAAACTTAATCCATTCCGGAACCAAAGCGTTCCAAAACCAAGGCGCGCTTTCCCACAGAAAGTAATGCAAAAACAGTTGAATCCGTTCCAGACTTTTAAAAACAATCCCTAAAACAGCCGTTTAACATGAATTTAACCATGTTAAGTTTAAAATTTAGCCATGGATCCATAAACTGAAAGCAGTAAACAATGTACTGCGGTTACACAATCAGTCCATCAGTAGCTCCACACAGCCACAAAAACAAAACAAAAAAGAGCAGCAAAAACAAAAACGCAAAATTAATAGCAAAAAAAGACAGACCGCAGCGTAACACTCCAATCAGAAGCGTAACACTCAAAACGGAGCACATTTGGCTTCTGAAAAAAGTTCACAAACCAGAACGCTTCCTTCCAGGTTTGCAGTGTTTGGGTTCCAAGTTGTTCGAGTACCAAGGCATTTGAGAACCAAGGTACCACTAAATAATTATATAAATAAATAAATAAATAAATTTATTATTATTTTAATTATTACTAGCTGCAGTGGCTATGCTCTGTCTCTGAATATTTCCAGTTGCTGGAAAGGGCAGTGGAAGAGTGTTCAGGTCCTGCTGGCAGGCCACTTTGAGAACAGGATGCTGGACTAGATGTGCTACTGGCCTGATCCAGCTAGAGGCAGGATGTCTCTGAATCCTAGTTGCTAGGGACCGCAAATTGGGATGTCCCTCTTGCAGGCTTCCCATGGGAGGGTGTGCTTCTGGTTGGCCACTGCGAAGACGGGATGCTGGACTCAGTGGGCCCCCTTTGGCCAGATCCAGCAGCCAAGCTCTCTTCTGATGCCCTTCATTCTCTTTTTTTGTTAGGAACCAAGTCATGAGAAAAAAACTGATCCTCTTTTTCAAGAGAAGGAATCACGCCAGGAAACAGAGGGTATGGATCTATTTATTTGTTTCTTTTTTGTCCCCCTGCTCATAAATTTTTGGGGGTGGCTGGTTAGCTTGTTGTTAGCACAGGCTGTCTTTTCCCTCCCCTTAAAACGCACCCCAAAACTCGCTGTCATTCGTCAGTTACGAGGGTATTTATTTCAGTGCTGAGAGTTGTCCTTTATACACAAAGCAGCCCACGTCTTTCACCTGCCTATACGTGGGCATAGGTGGCAAATACTCAGACTTTACAGAAGACTCTCCTTTCTGGGTTCAGAACTCAGCACCCCAAGCCGCACAGGTAAGAGAAATGCCCCTAAATATGCAAGCTATTAAATTTGGGTGTGAATAAGCTAACTGTGACATTAAGACATACTAGCTCACTCGATTAAATAAAAAAATGAATGGAATTTAGCTACACTAGGATGCATAAAAAGGGTGTGTTTTACATGAGAAGTGCCCACAAAATTACCAACCATTTGATTTTGTGTGTTCTTTGTTAAAAATGAAACAGAGCTCTGATTGAGCACCAGTGAAGCTGAAACAGGGCTAAATTAGGCGGCTTGGTGCATTTCTGGTTTGCACATAATGCTAAACCGTGGATTATTAAACTATATTAAATTGTGACTTAGCATTATGTGAGAGCCCAGATAAGTACCTTAATTATGGTTTGTCAGCTTGTTTTAAGATTAATCATTAGCCAAGGATTTGTATCTGACTTATAAACTTTAGTTGGTATTAACCATAGCTTAGCATTACATGCAAACTCGGACCTCCTCCTTAACCATGGTTAAGGAGCCATCACCACATATACAGAGCCATGAGTGAACAGCGGCGAAAAATTCGAACTGCTGTCAAGGATACCTGTTCTGGCTGATGCTTTTAAGTATCCTGTGATGTGACAAACCCAGATTTAAGTGATGGGCTTCAAAGTGCCTCAGTTTTAATGATGGTTTACGTTATCATCGTTTAGCAGTATTTGTGAACCAGGTCTGTATGCCCTGCTGAAGCCACCATCTTTTCAGTTTCGTGTCACGCTGTTGCATTCTAGCGTTGTGCGAGAGAGAGCTTTTTTTAATCCAGAAATTGGGGGGTCGGGGCTGTGTGTGGAATTAACCAGGAGCAGAAAATCTGTCAGCGTTACGATCAGCTGATGGAAGCCTGGGAGAAGAAAGTAGATCGCATAGAGAACAACCCCCGCCGGAAGGCAAAGGAGAGCAAGACCCGCGAATATTATGAGAAGCAGTTCCCCGAAATCCGGAAGCAGAGGGAGCAGCAGGAGCGGTTTCAGAGGTAAACGGGAGTGCAGGTCCAAATGGACTGGAGGGCACCAGGCTGGCAAAGGCTGATCTGGTCCAGCCTTCTGATTTCCCCCAACAGAACCCGGGTGGTGCCTCCCAAGTGGGACATTGCTCAGAGGGCCGTATCACAGAGTGGTGCAGGAGCGGCAGTGTGGTGCAGTGGTTAGCGTGCTGGACTAGGACCTGGGAGACCAGGGTTCAAATCCCCCTACTCAGCCAGGAAGCTCAGTTGGTGATCTCGGACCAGTCACTCACTCTCAGCCCAACCTCCCTCACAGGCTCGTCGAGGACAAAATGAAGAGGAGAACCACGTCCGCCACCTTCAGCTCTTCAGAGGAAAGGTGGGTTGCAAATGCGATGAATGAAATAATGAATTCAGTTGGGGGTTTCTTCTGCCTGTTTTGTGATTCCTCCTCTCCTTTTAAAAGCCGCCTTAAAAGGAAGAGGCCACCCCACACATCCCAGGGTGGTGCAAATTTCACGCGTCAGTTTGGGGCTCTCTGAAATGGGCTCAGGCCTCTTTCCCCGGGCTGGATCAAAACGTTTTGCAGTTGCATCAACATTGTGTTAGGATAGCCTTCTTTACCACCCTTGAGAGCAGCAGGCTGTCATAGGGGTTTCAAAGCAGGCCACACAGCACATTCATCTCTGCCCTCCAAAATCTTGTCGCTGTTCCTTGCCCTCCATTATCTGCCACCTGAGGCGGCTGCATTACTCTGCCTCATGGTAGGGCCGGCCCTCACTGCTGATAAGGTGATCCTCAGTTCTCGTCTTATTTATATGTAAAAAGGTAAAGGTAAAGGGACCCCTGACCATTAGGTCCAGTCGTGACCGAGTCTGGCGTTGCGGCGCTCATCTCGCTTTACTGGCCGAGGGAGCCGGTGTACAGGTTCTGGGTCATGTGGCCAGCATGACTAAGCCGCTTCTGGCGAACCAGAGCAGTGCACAGAAACGCTGTTTACCTTCCCGCTGGAGCGGTACCTATTTATCTACTTACACTTGATGTGCTTTCGAACTGCTAGGTTGGCAGGAGCTGGGACTGAGCAACGGGAGCTCAGCCCCTTTCGGGGATTCGAACTGCCGACCTTCTGATCGGCAAGTCCTAGGCTCTGTGGTTTAACCCACAGCGCCACCCACGTCCCCTATTTATATGTAGGAGAGAGCTAAAAAACAACAACCCTTTCCTCACATCTTTTGCCAAATCTAGCATGTGTTCTGTCCCGTCCGGCCCTGAAGAGGCTGGCTGACCACACCTCACCCTGATATTGCCAATTGTTTTCCTGTTCTCAGAAAATAGCTACTTTTTCCTTTTCATTTTGGTTTCCCTTTCTGTTGTTGTTGTTGCATCCCCAGGGTGGGGCAGAGAGGGACCGGACTTTCAGCGACCATCGCCCGGAGCGAGCACGAAATCTCGGAGATAATCGACGGTCTCTCGGAACAGGAGGTGAGAACCGGGCTTCTTATGTATATTAGAGCATCTTTACCCTTCTCTTCAGCCGAAAAGGCTCCCAGAGCGGCTTACATATGATCAAGGAAAACAAGACAGTCCCCTGCCTGCCCAGACTTACAATCTGATAAAAAACCAAAACATGACACACATAGCATCTTTGAATTTGGAAGAGGGGAGGGTGCAGTCATCTTGTACTGAGTCCCTTGCCAGATATATTCTTACAAGCTCCATCCTCTTCTCTTTGTCAGGAGACCCCGTAGTCCCTTCCCAGAGCTATAATTGCCTTCACAGGGAACTCTGGCGATTGTAGCTCCGGGATGGGAATAGGTATACAGTGGTACCTCGGGTTAAGTACTTAATTCGTTCCAGAGGTCCGTTCTTAACCTGAAACTGTTCTTAACCTGAAGCACCACTTTAGCTAATGGGGCCTCCTGCTGCCGCCACACCACTGGAGCACAATTTCTGTTCTCATCCTGAAACAAAGTTCTTAACCTGAAGCACTATTTCTGGGTTAGTGGAGTCTGTAACCTGAAGCATATGTAACCTGAAGCGTATGTAACCCGAGGTACCACTGTACTAACAACTCTCAGCATCCTTAACAAACTACACTTCCCAGGAGTCTTTGGAAGAAGCCTTGAATATTTAAAGTCATCTTGTAGTGTTTTAACTGTGTGGGTGTGAATGTGCCCTTAGCTGGGCCTTTGGCCTGACCCAATTGGGCTGTTCTGAGGTAGGCTAGTCAGAGGGGGGCTTTGTGGCTCGAGATGGGTCTGGCCCAGACCAACGCAGCAAGCCTTATGGCTGGGACATTCTTACGTGTGTGAACATGGATTCGAATCCTGAGGTCCAGCGTGGTGCACACATCCCATAACCTGTGCTTTTTATAGCCTGATCTTACGCCATGTCCAGCACAGCATGTTTTCTCTGTCCTAATGTGGATTTTCTTACAGCGTTGGCAAACCCCTTAAATCATCTTCAGCAAAGGGTAGCTTTTCATGAACAAGCACCACCATCTTCCCTGTTCCAAAAAGAGCTGCGCTGGGACTGGATAAAGATGGCTGTGGGCCAAAGAGAACAGTCCTTTTTCTTCTTCTTCTTCAGTACTTGTAACTAAGGAAGTCCAAGATGTAACCGCAAGAGCTGACACTCCCTCCCTCCTTTTTAAAAAGCAATTTTGGCTCTGTCTTGGCTGACTTGGGGGGTCCATTACTTGTAAACAGAAACTTCACTATAAATTTTTTGTGTTTTTTTCCTTCTCCGGTCTTGCAGAATAACGAGAAACAAATGCGCCAGCTCTCGGTCATTCCTCCCATGATGTTTGACGCGGAACAGAGGCGGGTGAAGTTCATAAACATGAATGGGCTGATGGAGGACCCCATGAAAATCTACAAGGACCGGCAGTTCATGAACGTCTGGACAGACCATGAGAAGGAGATCTTTAAAGAAAAGTACTTTTATTTATTTTGTGTGGGGTGCATTTTTAAGGGTGTGCATTGCACAGTAGAAAAATCGGTTGCATGGCGACAAACTAGGGCCAGTAAAGGCAAGCGATGGTCTAATTCAGGAATGGGGAATCCGTGGCCCTCCTGTGGACTACAGATCCCATCATCCTTGACCATTAGATGGGGCTAATGGGGCTTGGGAGTCCCAGCAACAGCTGGAGGGATAAAGGTTCCCCATCCCTGAACTGGACCATCACTTGCTTTTACTTCCCCCTCCATCACTTGCCCTCACTGCTCCTAGATACCTCCAGCATAAACTCTGCCTCCTTTTAAATCAGGGATGGGCAACCTGTTCACCTCCAGGTGTTGCTGGACTACAGCTCCCATCATTCTTGACGGTTGGTAGGGTTGAACGGGGCAGATGGGAATTGTATATTATTAGGACCCCTGGACAGTTAAGCCCAGTCAAATTCGACTATGGGGTGCGGCGCTCATCTCCCCTTTTAGGCCAAGGGAGCTGGCGTTTGTCCGCAGACAGGTTTCTGGGTCATGTGTCCAGCATGACTAAACTGCTTCTGGCGCATGGAACACCATGATGAGTGCCAGAGTACCTTTCCACTGCAGCAGTGCCTATTTATCTACTCGCGCTGGTATGCTTTTGAACAGTTAGGTTGGAAGGAGCTGGGACAGAGCAACGGGAGCTCACCCTATCGCGTAGACTTGAACTGCCGAACTTGTGATCGGCAAGCCCAAGAGGCTCAGTGGCTTAGACCACAGTGCCACCCATGTCCCTGAGTGTACATATACACGTCACTGAGTGTATATATTATTAAATCAGCTTCAAACCAATGCTTTTGTAGCCTGGGTAGTTCTGAAGCTGGGAACCGTAATATCTATGTATGGACACAATGGAAAAACTGGTTAATTAAAAGACTTCTATTTTGTTGGCTCGCCCTGTGAAAGGTCTGTTTGCGGGGGCAGTAGGTTCATTTCACATAGCCGCTTATTCAGCTTAATGATTGACAAAACACAGATTGATAATAAATGCTCACAATTACTTCGGATTCAGCTGTCAGAGTTGTTTGTCTTCTGTGGTTGCCATGCAAGTGTCGCATAGTCGTCAGGCTTGGTATTCAACCCTGAAATGCTCACCTTTCGTAAAAACACCGAAACAGAGTTCAGGTTTCTAGTCCTGATGGATGATCGAGAGTATAGGCTTTTAGACCCTGCAGGTGATGTCCGGCAAAAGGATCGCAGAATGCCGCCTTATAACGATCCAGGCCATTAATCCATCCAGCTCAGTATTGTTTGCACTGTTCGGCAGCAGCTCTCTAGGGGTTCAGGCAAGGAAGCCTTTTCCCAGCCCTACCTGGAGATTAGGGATTGGACCAGAGATCTTTGGCATGCCAAGGTGGTAGGCGCAGCCCCTCAGTTTAATGGGCCTTTCCCACAAGATTCAAGTCCTCGTCTGAATTAGAGGGCTGATTTAATAGGAACCTACATAGCTGCCTTCTGCGAAGCCAGCCCATCAAGCTTAATGTTGTCTACACAGACCAGCAGTCTTTCACCTGGAGATGCCAGGACTTGAACCTGGGACTTTCTGCATGTGAAGCCAGGGCTGTCCCACTGGGCTACGGCCCTTCCTCCAGTTAAATGCCAGAAGCCGACAGGGCAACCAAGCAGGGTTTCTTGAAACTGGGGTGGGGGTGCTTTGGCTATTTTGACGTCGTCCTTTTTAATATCTGAACTTGCATTTAACCAGGTTGCAAAAGAGGTCTAGCAAAATGCAGCCCTGGTAACTGTGATGGTTTTAATTTTGGATGGCAGAACATGAGGTTTTCTCTGTGTGTTTTCCTCCCCATCAGATTTGTCCAGCATCCTAAGAACTTTGGCCTAATTGCTTCCTACTTAGAAAGAAAGGTGAGACGATGCGTTTTTTGTTTGTTTGTTTTTTGTTATGGAATGTCCACTTCAATTTTCAAGATGGCTTCTTAAGCGGTTTGCACTTACAAACTATGCCTGAGTAAAATTCTCTACAGCAAATATTCACACAAGCCACACTTTGGCTAAAGGCACCTGCGGTGTGTAGCGTTATGTGTGACCCAGGCTAATGTAATTCCCTCACTTCTAAGCCTGGGTCTGCACAATTGACAGTGAGAGCATTTACATGGCGTATCCCACTGAGGGTCCGTAAGTAATAAATCTTTCCATTTCAGAATGTTCCAGACTGTGTCTTGTATTATTATTTGACCAAGAAAAATGAGAACTACAAGGCCCTTGTCCGAAGGAACTATGGCAAGCGGCGGGGAAGGAACCAGGTGCGTTGCGTTGAGTGTTGCGACCCGCTCGTTTTCTCACGACTGAAAAAGGCAATTTTAAAATTATTATTATCTTACAAATTATATATATATATGTAATTTTCTATGCAAAGTTTTGTGGGGCGCTGTTTTTAAAGAAGTTTTCCCCACCCCCAATGTACTGATGGCTTGGGCAAAGGGTTTGGGCAAAAATGGAGACTTCACTGTTGTACAAAGAAAAAAGATCTCTCTCTCTCTCTCTCTCTCACTCACTCTCTCTCACACACACACACACACACAGAGCGAGAGATGCCCTTGCCCTTCCTCCCTGTGGGTTCCCCAGGGGTGTCTGCTTGGCTTGTGTGTGTTTGTTTGTGTCAAAGGATACTGGACTTATGAGTCTTTGGCCCTGATCTAGCAGGACTCTCCTTATCTCGTTTTGGAGGCTAACCTTATCAACAACGGGATAGCCAAACTGAGCCTCTGCGTGCCAGGGCAGTCTACCTCCAGTTACCAAATGACGAGAGCAGCAGCACCACAGGGCTGTTGGTCTCCTTGCCCTGCTTGGGGGCTTCGTGGAAGCATCTGATGGGCCAATGTGAGAACAGAATGCAGGACTAGACGGGCCGGTGGCCTGATCCAGCTATAGGGCTCTTAAGTTCTGACACGCACAACGCGCTCACCCCTCTTATATTCTTACAAACATATACGCTTCGTCCTCTAAGTACCAGGCATTGGCCAGTAAATTCTCCCTCCTGTTCCTCCTTTCCCCCAACCATTTGGGACCTGGGAATCTTTTTGGAATTCCCCTCTGCTTATCTGATGTGACACGGGCTGGAACACAGAGTCCCAGTAATTCTTCCCCCCACCCCACCCTCTTGGGATGATGTTTCTGTTTGTACATTGGCGGCGAGAACAAGGAGTCAATGGATCTGACCCGTTAACTTTCCAAGGAACACTTTCTTGCTGGCCTTTACCCAATCTTGTTTCCCTCCGGCTCTTTTAGGGATGAAATCAACAGGGACATAGGAAATGGCCATGCACAAGTCAAGCTTAAGATTGTCTACACAGTGACCGGCAGAGGCGCTCTGCGGTTTCAGACAGTTCACAGAGCGTGAGACTCTTAACCAGGGTTGTGGATTCGATAATCACGTCGGGGCAAAAAGTTTCTGCATTGCAGAGGGGTTGGGCTAAGCGATTCTTGTTCCAACTCTACAATTCTGTGGTCCCATGTGGGTTTCTCCCAACCCCACCTGGAGATTCTGGGGATGGAAGCTGTGTACTGTGGCTCCTAAAAATAATAATAATACAGTGGTACCTCGGGTTACAGACGCTTCAGGTTACAGACTCTGCTAGCCCAGAAATAGTATCTCGGGTTAAGAACTTTGCTTCAGGATGAGAACAGAAATTGCGGGGCAGCAGCAGCGGGAGGCCCCATTAACTAAAGTGGTACCTCAGGTTAAGAACAGTTTCAGGTTAAGAACGGACCTCCAGAACAAATTAAGTTCTTAACCTGAGGTACAATAATAATAATAAGAATAATAATACCTTTATTGTCACTGTACAACCTGTATAAAATGAAATTAAATGAGCCTCCCCCCCCCCCCCGCAAACACTCAATCTCTTGTCGAACAACACACTACCTTGCAAGTCAATTTCGCTATGTTATTTTCTGTTCAACAGCCTAACAGCCCACGGATAGAAGCTATTTTTTAGCCTGTTGGTACGGCTGATTATACTTCTATATTTCCTGCCCGGGGGTAGCAGATGAAAGAGGTGATGGCCGGGGTGTGAGTCATCCCTGAGAATTTTTCTCGCTCTTCTAAGGCAACAATCCCTTGCGATATCATCTAGCGGACTCAAGGGACAGCCCATGGTATCATGTGCTGTATTCCCCACCCTTTGTAGAGACTTTCTGTCTGTGGCTGTCAGGCCAGCATACCACACTGTGATACAATATGAAAGGGCACTTTCTGTTGTGGGCTGGTAAAAGGAGTTCATCAGTTGTTGTTTAACATTCTTTGGAAGACCCTGAGGAAATGGAGTCTCTGTTGGGCCTTTCTGACCACCTGAGTTATGTTGATTTTCCAAGTGAAGTCCTCGCTAAGGCAAACTCCCAGGAATTTAAAGGAGGAGACTCTCTCCACACACACACACCCCTGATATACAATGGGGCAGGTTCCCCTCTCTTCCTCCGGAAAAGTCAAGTTTCCAGTCCTCTTGGTTCTGAATTAAGGTCTGATTTTAAAAGGAACATAGGAATCTGCCTTGTACTGAGTTGGACATTTGTCCACCTAGCTCAGTACTGCCTGCACTGACTGGCAGCGGCTCTCTCCAGGGCAGGGGGTCTCTCCTAGCCCCACCTGGAGACACAGGGGCTCAAACCTGGGAACTTCTTTAGGCAAAGTGTGTGCTCTGCCACTGAGCTACGGCTGAAGGAATGTGTGGAAGAGCAGTGATCACTCATCAGCTTCACTCCCTCTAGCTGAAACTGTTTGAGGTCTGGAGGGGGGGCCATGGTTGTGGATCCAAGTTGGCAGTATGTAGAAAATATGTTGTTTGGGGGCTCCGGGAAATCTCTGAATGGCTGTCAATCGCCCGTTGATGTTTTTAGGGGTGTTTTAGCAGTGATTTGAAGACGAAGTGTGTTCAGCCACAAGGTTTTGGGTTTCTTGCTGGCTTGCATTGTCCCCACCTGCAGAGAATTGTGAGGAAATGGTTGTGTCAATAGAAGCCTGATCTCGACTCTCCAACACAGGGTGGATTTGATTTAAATCAAATTGATTTAAATCACTAGTCAGTAAGACTTGATTTAATTTTTTTTATTTTTTTTTACAGAAAGACTCATTCTTGCTGGTATAATCTTAATATTTACAACCAGATGAAGGTTTCATTTTTGGAGTAATAAATTTTCAGAGCAGTTTTTACAGTTATATAAAAAATTACTGACTTGGTTATACTATTAGAAATACATTGGAGGATAATTATGAAATTATTGTGAGGTTTAATAAGTTAACTGTTTACATTTGGACAACTTTTCTGCTGTACTTTATTAGAAGGAGAAAAATAATCATTTCCTTAATAACAATTAAAACAATTTATTTAACTGAAACAGTAACATTATAGCATATGTATCCATGTTTGTTAACTGATGTGGTTAAACAATTTTTTAAAAAAACAACAACCTTAGACTGAGTTTTAGCCCACATGAAAAACTTAAAACAAATCCTTATTTCCTGATGAATAGCCTTTGGACTAAAATGCAACTTAAATAGAAAACTATCTTTAGAAAGATTTTCTCTCCAAAAGCATTTTATTTTAAAAATCTGATTGGAATTTAAAAAAATGATTTAAATAAAAAAATCCAATTTATTTTTATTTTTTTATTTAAAAAAATCATTGATTTTTATCCACCCTGCTCCAATGCATTCTTTACTGCAGACAAAAAAGTGGAAGCTTGGATGGGCTGTCCCTGGTGGATTCTTAATGGTGTGGGTCACTTGGTGGAGTGGGTGCTTCTTGTCTCCCCTCGGGAAAGTCTGTGAGGGTCCTCACCTAAGCTGCAATTAGTCAGATGTGGCCCTCCAAACCTCTCTTGTCCAGCCCTTGGGACTCTTCCCCAGGCTATGCCCTCATCGCCCCTGCCTCTCAACCCGCTTTGAGTGTCTTTTCCGGGCTGGAAATGTCTCTTCTTGAATTCTGACCATAACCCTTTGCGTGTCTGGATGGAGGAGAGGGAGAGGGGTCTTCAGGTATGTGTGTGTGAGCAGAAACTCACCTGGCGTACCAAAGGTAGAATTTATGTTGCTCTGGCCCTGTCCACCGCTGGTATGTGGCCCCCTGGAGATTTCCTAGAATGGAAGGTGCCCCCCCTTTTTATTAAAGGTTCCCCACCTCTTTTAGAAGGACATTATATATGGGGTGTTAGGGGAGGGGTAGCACCTCTTGTGAGGGACACATCCTGCTCCTTCTGGGGTCATTTGTCCACCTTTGGCTCTCAGCTCTCACCTGTGGCTCCTAGAAGCTGCCAGCATGTGACAGCAGCCACACCCTGGGAAATGGCTTTGACTGGCCGGCTAAACCAGGTGAGGTTAGCTGATGGGTCTTAAACCCTCTGTGAGTTAGGGGCTTCCCCTGCCTTCAAAGACAGGCTCTGATGGATTGAGTCATGGGTAGGCAAACTAAGGCCCGGTAGACGGATCCGGCCCAGTCGCCTTCTAAATCCGGCCCGTGGATGGTCCGGGAATCAGTGTGTTTTTAAATGAGTAGAATGTGTCCTTTTATTTAAAATGCATCTCTGGGTTATTTGTGGGGCATAGGAATTCGTTCATATATTTTTTT